TCACCCTCTGTGGATACTTCATGGACATTCTCATTGTTTTTCCTTTCTACTTCATTAATTTTCTCTTCCTCTACTTCCTCCTCTATGATTTCCTCCAACTCTTCACTGTGATCTGTAAAATAAGGTCATAAGTGACAGTTGTCCAAAATGTACCAGTATGTGACTCGCCTCGCTCATCCTCCTTCTTCGATTTGCTTTGGAGATTTTTTCCAGCAACAGCGCTCAGTGTTAACCAATCACGAGTGGATCTTGTAACCCAGGGATGCTTTAGGATATCCTCCAGAGAACACCGTGAAAATGGATCAAATGCTAAGCAGCAGGCAATCAGATCCTTCACCTCTGAAAAAAGGACGAGTTCTCGGCTGGGTGAGTTTTTCCATCAAACCGTTCAACATTTGACTTCTTGGGCTTTCAGTGATTCAAGGACGTTCCAGTGCTATCTTTTTCTCGAATGTACTTGGCTTGGAACGTTAAAAGTCACGTGGTGCACCCGCAAAAACTCTCATTCTACATTGGGAAGAATTATCCAGAGAAGTGCCGACCATTTGATGAGTGGGTTTTTGCATCGTAAGGTTTTTAAGCTCAATTCATCTCTTCCTAATGTTCGTTTTTCTAGTGAATATGCTGACTCCTATTCTAAATTTAGAATGTTCCAGAAGCACGAAGAACATGTCATAAAGTTGACTGCAACATATTCCCCTAAGCGCATAAGTGAGCGATTAGTCATATGTCACCCGGAACTTCTGGAACATAAAAAGCAGTGAGTCAGTAGGCATTCGTCAAACTTTTCATAGAACGTTCATATTTTAACTGAAGGGAGGCTGAGCCAATAGAGAGTTACTTAAATTACTTTATATCTTTTGTAGATTTTCCATGTATTAGAAGGTTGTTATATCTACTCCTTTTTAAAAAATAAAGGAAATTTTGGCAATTCTCAATGCAATTTTACAAACTTGGCTTTCAAATTGAAGACTGAAAAATTCTTCCGCAAAAGTTCTTTTTTTCTCAAAAGCATGGTGCAATCTGCAATCCGACAAGCCCTGCATCTAATCAGAAAGCCAAGTTTTTGTGTTATGGCAATACGCTGGATACATTAAAAGCAGCAAGCCTCGCTTAATACAATTAAGCTACATGTACATGATGGGCAATGCCTAGAAGTACACTGGTCTATTTTTGTCCAGATAGAAAACACAGATCGTAGATTGACTTTATGTTGCATGGAATGGTTGGGGTACACATTTTTGTGCTAGGACTCTCTTCAAATTAGATGTAGTAGATTAATATGCAATCCCCTACCTAATCATTATCTAAAGGAAAACTATTCAAGCAGAAAAGAGTCTTAGTGTCTGAAAATATACGGTGACTACATATGAGTGCCCGTCTTAATTGAATAACCGACGTAGCGTGACTTCACATCCTAAGAAATTGTGGAACCACCTAGAAAAAGTAATCTGCAAAAAGCAAGAACCCAAGAATGCGGTATGCTGCGTCCTTTAATTTTGTTCAACGCATAGTATTTTCACAGTTGACGCTCTATTGTGGTGTGCTTACATATTTAATTTTTCCTGTAGTTTACAAGGAAGAGATGCGTGCCATACGCCAAAGTCTTCTAAGTACCTATTACAGCGATCGCCCCGTATGTGGAAGTCGCTCATCAAAACAATCTCTCCGCGTTGAAAAGGCGCGCCTATGACCATGTGGTCGCTTCTTTTTGCACTTTTTTTGCGCAAGAAATTTTTCCG